TTTTATATTGCTATGGTACAACATCTTATTTTGCTTATTGTACTCCTTTTTATGTGTTTCATTTTCATGTGTATTGAGGAGATAAGTATCTGATACCTGTGGAATGTGCAGAGTGATGCCAGGTCATGCTTTTCTCTGATAGCTGAAGCAATTGCACAGGCAGCCAGTTATTTAGTACAAAGCTTTGATAATGTAATTTTCTTGCTCATCTCATGCAGTCTGTTCCATACTAATGCAGCAGATTTGAAAACATATGACAAAAATCTTAGTTTTCCTGATATTCCTTTTGGAATTAGCTTTACTAAGTGCTGGAGCAACACACTGAAGCAGAGCTGCTGAGATCCAAAAAATTGCAGTTCAGACTGGATATGAATATTTTGCTGCTCAGCTATTTTGATTTTGGGTTGGGATTTGCCTTTTTCCAAATGTTTGTATAGTGTAGTCCAGCACAACAAAGCCACACCCAGTTTGAGTTCTCTAGACAATGATATAAAAGTTAAAATAATGAAGATAATGTCATCTGGAAACTGTAAAGCGTGCACAGTGGAATAGTCCCTGCAGTTTAACATGTCACCATTCAACTAATGGAATGAGCATCGGTACTGGAAGGAAAAATCTGCATCCACACACACCCGATTCCACTAGTGTGTCTGGATTTCTGGTAAAGCAGCGTGTTGGTCCCTCTGTCAGTATGTTTAATTAACTTCAGCTTTACTTTTGTTTCTGCAATTTACAGTCAGTTAAATCATAAATATTGTTTTGTAACTGATAGAACAGTATGTAATGGTCCTCATCTTGTATCCTTTTTAGTCTGAATGTGACATCCACTTTGTAATTTTTAATGACAACAACAATTTTTATTATATTGCTGAAACTTTTCCCCGGGGTAATTGTGTCTTTTGTATATAATATGTGATCTAGAAGTGAAACTGAAGCAGAAAGCTGGTAAATCCAGCATCTTCTGTAGCTGCGTATTTATGTTAAAAATTCTTGGACCTAGTACAAGAGATTGAAAGTATCTTATAAAACAAAACCAACCCAAAATTTAAGTTAATGATACACAAGGTAGCTGAGCTTTCTGCAGCTCAGTGAAAGAGAGTTGCTCTAAATATGAAAATATCAAGCAAAATACAAGTGAAGGCAGAACATATTTACATATCAGCTCTGATCTGCTATCTTATGGAAATCAGCTGCATGTTTGTCTTGCTGTGTGTCTGTAGGCCCTTTGAAAGTATTTCCAATTAACAGAGATTTTACATTTTGACCACAAAATTTGCTCCAGTTCCGATTTCCTTCAAGACAAAGAGAAGTAATGACCTTATGAGTAGCAAACTGACTGATCAAGACCTTTCTGCTCTTGGCTTTTCAGGAATTTAGAGAAGTCATTTAAGCAACAGCCTCATCAGGGGCAAATCGTATCCAAAGCTTAGACTTTTATTGTTACAGCCTTCAGCACCTTTCGTTGCGTAACTGCACTGTGCTATCAAGTGCAACTGTAGTAGAGTTGCATGTCACATATGCGTAACAGAAGCAAGTATCTTGCCTAGCTACCAGGATGGTTGTGGTGGGGGAGAAGCAGTGGGTGCTACATTGCAGACGGACAAGATAGCAGAAAAAAAACTTATATTCCTGCTAGTAGAGTTGCATGCCACATATGCATAACAGAAGCAAGTATCTTGCCTAGCTATCAGGATGGTTGTGGTGGGGGATAAGCAGCAGGTGCTACATTGCAGACGGAGAAGATAGCAGAAAAAAAACTTATATTCCTGCCTCAGCATTATAGCATAAGCTATGGGCTATGCATTTCTGTTCCGGTTTTGGGACTCAGAGCACATGGGATGAGAGGAGAAGCAGTTACAGACACAGATATTGCCTGTGGTTCACTCTGTCACTTCTTCCCTTTCAAAGTGAGAGATTATTGGAGAACTTGGGAAAGGAAGGGGAGAAACTGCTTTTCAGTCCACCAACTTGGACTCGGATATTGACTACTGTATATGAGCGCACCCTTTTTCTCTGCATTTTTATCCCATACTGAATTTATGGGTGGCACAGAAACCATCAATAGTGCTATAGATCCTCATTTTCTACCTGACTTTTTAAGTTTAGTGATCAGTTTTTCAGAAGGTGAGTATGTTTTACTGTAAGAGAAACAGGGACAAGGTCCTCTAACATACAGATGCTTAGCATAATTCAATAAATTGAATAAACGTCACTTGGGAACTTGAGGAATGGCTCTTCTGTAGAAGATGATACCCTGTTTAGAGTTTCCAAAGTTTATGTAATTAAATATTTCCTATGCTTTGCCTTCATTTTATGGTTTGATTATTATTCTTTGATTACTTCTTTCTAGCTCAACAAAATTCACCAAAAATCCATGAAGGCTGGTGGGCTTATAAGGAGGTGGTCCAGGGAAGCTTTGTTCCAGGTAAGTGTAATTTAAAAATCTTAGCTTTTATTAAATATTTTTTCACTGGAATTAATATAGTTGGGTTTGGGTGAGATTTTTTGGGTTTTGTTTTTTTAATCCATTGCAAAGATTTGAAGTACGCAAGTACTCAACATCACATTATAGTGAAGCATAGAAAGGTTTTTGTCAATACATTGTCCAAAGACCATGGCTGTTTTTCAGGAAAGAAACCGCTTTGATGACAGGCCTGGTTTCTCTCAGTAGAGTAACATGATGCTACTTTGTGAATGTGTGTGTTCTCTGTATAGAAAAGAGAAAGGGAGGACTGAAAAGCAGTATTGTTAACTGGATGAATTTACGTATCTGATGCAGCATTTCTAGATAATCCCATTTCCACAAATTTAATAGTATATTAGGAAAGGAACCTAATTGAAACATGAACCTAACATGCAAGTTTCACTGATTTTTGTTGTGGAAACAAGAAACAATGAGTGAAAAAAGATGAAATCCTTACTTGGCTTCAGTAAGATTTAGTAAATGGTAAATAATCAGTAGGCAGCTAAAAGGATCTAAATAAGCAACACCAGCTGAATTTGATTAGCAAAAGTGAAATTCAGGCTAGCAATAGCCGGGCATTGGTCAGTATTGGTAGAACTCCCCCAAAACATGTGCATTGGTCGCCCTAATGCTATATACTCCTTAACTATCATGTGGTCTGAGTAGGCCTTAGCTTGTTCTTTTTAGCTCTGGATCTCTCTTAACACATTTCAGGATTCAAGCTGCTTGAGACACTAGTAGTTCTTAGGCTGACAAGGTTTTATTTTGGTTTTGACCTGCATTTGACACCTGATCTTTTTGTGCTCCCTTTCTGTAAATTATTTTATTCTTTCTTTCAATACGAATTACTTTGGTCGGTCTTCATTGTTCCATTTGACCTGATATTTCCACTTAGAAGAGGAGTCAGGAAACTTTAGCAACCTCCATTTTCTGTTCAGTTGTGGAGCTGATTTGACAGTACATTCCTCATTCGGTATACAGAAACATTTAGTGATTATTTTGTTAAGTATGTTTTCAGTGCAATTGAAATGAATATGCATTAATTTATGTATATTAGCTATATATTACAAGCTAAAACAGTGCTTCAAGTTCTATCATGAATGCACCATGAAAATTGCTACATGATCTTTATTTCCTCAAAATACTAGAAAATATTACTTGGCCACTGTGTGATCTATTCTAAGAATATGTAAATTGGATCTATCATCAGATATTTTCAATGTTGTGACAACAGTTACAATCTGACAGTCATTTGAATATCCAAAATAGTGATTATCTTGTTAGGAATACTAGTGCAAATGAGATTAAATATTTCAACCCACAAGTTTCTGGCACTGAAATTCTTGTGAAAAGCACATACGAAAATCAACATCTACAAGCCTGGAGCTTAATTACATACTGATGCAGCACAAAGTAGCTTTTCAGATTTACTTGGGATTGGTTCGGGCTGTCAAAGATGCTGCAGTGTATTGTTATGCATGTTTAGTTCCTAATGTTGATAGCAGGGGAAGAAACCTGGAGAACATAACCACCTGCTGTCAGAAATTTCAGCCTTCCTGATTTGCATGACCCAGGTAGATGCCCAGTAGAAGGTGAATGAAGAAATATTTGCTTAACATACCTTCTAATTATTTCGGCTTAAAGTTATTGAGAAAAATGATTTAATTGTAAGCATGTAAAGAAACGTGATCAGGTAACACTTGTGGTATTCTAGTCTTAATACTCTGAGAAATTTGGACTTGGGAACATCCTTAGAAGATTAATGAGGAAACAATCACGAGTCAAACTTTCAAGAAGAAAGACCTTTTAGGCTAGTGCGGAGAGACACCTCCTTTCTGAGAGAACCCTGAATTACCCATACATGTTGAATATCAGACTAACCTAGCACACATCCTCAAGAATTGGTCCAGAAGGACAATTATGAACAGTTCACTGAAGCGGCTATGCAGAAAGCAAGGGTAATTTGGGGGCACCTTTCTTGCAGACTGTCATGTTTCTTTCAGATTCAACTCTGCAACCTGTAAGCCTCAGCAGAAGAGAAAAATCCCACGAATTTTTACAGAACAAACAACTAATTTTTTTCAGCAGCACCTAGATTTGGGTGTCTTTGAAAACCATATTTAAAGCATTTTGAGGATGCATTTTATGGTTATGATCTCAGACTAACACATCACAAAGGATATGTTAGTGCATATTAAGTTTATCCATAATGTTAGCAGTCACATATCAGATCTCGCATGAGATGCTAATTAGCACCTGAGAGGTGATAGCTGCGAGGCAGTCTGAGGAGCTATAGCTGAAGTTGCTGACTGATGTGCACCGAAGCAAACAGCTATAGCCATCTGCTAAGACGTTTCCTTTCCACAGCTGTTTGTCCTGTCCCAGGGCTGGAAGTTACCACCCCCAAAGACATTAGAAAGGAGTATTTGTCCAAGACACTGTCACTGCAGTTCAACACTGGCATCTCAGCTAATATGATTGACATGAATACAGCTCTTTAGCTGCTTGGGGGAGCAACCACAGGCAGAGAGATGACTAATTGGGGGTAATAGCATTGTAAAACACTCCAGGATGAGTTGCTAGAGTTTGTCTGTCACAGCTTTGGCTGTGTGAATACTTTTCGCCTACTTCAAAGCAAAGTCACTGTCTTTCTTTTAACTATCGCTTCTTCTTTCATGTATAGTTGTGCAAGAATGCATTTAGGAGTGTATCACAATATGTCTAGGTTAGACTATGCCATTGATAAGTTTTTTTTGATTAATACTCTGTTTTGGATGCATTTAAGTCAAGTCCTAACAAATGCTCTGGATCCTGCACAGATTTGTTTTCGAGCAGTTCAAAAAATCAAACCATACTTCACTACGTTCCCCAAATCCCGGACTCCCTATACTCTGGGACAGATTTTAGAAAAGTTATTTTAAATCACTTCCTAATGCAATATGTTCACATATTACACATTTTTTTTCCCCAAATTCTGGGATTCACAACTTAAATTACATGTTGTAAACCAGTGGCTTACAATCACTGATGTGTATCTCACAGGTAGGAGAGGATGTAGGCAGAGATGAGGTGCAAGAGCCATCACGCTGTCTTTCCCAACTTCACTTCTTGCACTGCTCAACAAAGAAGAGAGCAATGGCGACCGACAGGTTCTCTCACTATAGTAACTGTGGCTCAGGTCTTTCTTGGTGCCAAGCCTTGCAAGTGAGGGGGCAGAGTTGTCAAGTGCGGGAAGGAAGGTGCATCAGTGGCTGGATCTGTGTATATACATACTAGTGATGCATAAAACACTCTCCCATCTCTCACCTTTTCTAAAAGCAAAGAATTGCTCTTACAATTTGAATCATGTAGGCAAACAAAACAGAAAGTAAGTAATGCTTTAAAATATTAATTGAATGCAACTTAGGTTCTAAATTAAACTTCAGGGAATGTTCAAGGATGAAGAATGAATACTTTTCTTTATGCATGGTGATTTGCATAATAAATTATATTATTACATACTTTCACTACGTAGACTTTTTCTGGCATGGAATATCAAAGTAGTTCATGATGGGTTAAAATACATTTAAATAATCTTTTTTATATCTTTTGTTTGGCTGAGTTTTGCTGTGACTATTAATATGTTGTGTCACTGAAGTAGCACAAGCATTTTCAGGGTGGCAAAGGCAATAATATTTCAAACTATTCTGTACCATTTCTTTTACTTGAAATAGATGTGCATAACCTTTGATACTCTTGTGTGTCTGACTGCATTGATTCTCTTCCTAATGTTCCTGGTTTTTTTCATAGCATCATAAAAGTGGGCGTTAGAAAGCATAAAATATAAAGGTGGTTAAATCTAATTTGTGATCATGGAATTCACTTGCCAAAACTCCATCCTGTTACTGAAACTTTGGACAACATGTTAATACAAGGACATAAGTGTTTCTTGCCCTGTGAAGACATTGTCTTCATGACCCTTACTGAATTATACCGAGTCTAAACTTACTTTACAAGGTGATAGTGCTAATCTTAGCTAAGAGGAGGAAGTCCATCTCTACCAAATAATGAGTGAACTTTGCAGAAGGAGCAGATAATGTTCTCCTCCTTCCTTATAATAAAGGTTGTAAAACAACTTCAATTCCAGATAAAGATCTATATCCACCATGATTCATTATTGGCTACAGATCACCAAATCAAAGGCTACCCGTTTCGCTGAGAAGCTGAGATGAGAAATCCCCTGTTCATAGTTCCTTTCACAACTCATTTTACTATAGAAGGGAAGAGACTGCTAGAGATTGATAATAGTCCTCCTGCCTTTTGCAAGGATCATGTTGATGGGATTATGCCCTAACATAGACCAGCTGGCAAAGCTACACTGACTCAAAAGGAACACAGGGGCAGTGTTTGTGAAGCACTGAGAAACTCCCTCCAAGGAGGAAATGCATTAATTTGGTAATGATTCACAAGGGAAAAAAAAGCCCGAAACAATTGATGATCTTGGTCATGAGTGCCAAAACCTGATTTTAAACTTCCTGCTATCGCCATGTGCTTTTGTTATGGCCCACACAGGTAGTTCAAGTGTCCCTAGTTTCTCCTGTGTGGGCTTTAAGTTTTCTTTTTATTACGGCTTTAAGATTTCTTTTAAACTACAGATTTCTTCATGTACATGTCCAAAAATAACATTTGATGGGCAGGTCACTGTAAGAACCATGAACTGTTTGTCCATGGCCTGAAACTGAGAGATATGAAACTTCAAACCCAAACACACCTTAAACTTTCTGAAAAGCTCATGTATTCTGTCATCCTCCAATCACATAGGGGTCTATTTCATACTTTAAGACTGGTGATCACTTAGTTTGGCTGCCTAAATAATATAAAACATAAACCTGCTGATTACTGCTCCTGCATTGCTCCCTTTTATACTAACTATAAAATTTCTTCCAGTCTTATTTTGGGACTTCAGGAGGCTGCAGCATCAC